CATGATGGAAAATACCACATCCAAATAGAGTAACAGGTGTTTGTTTCTTAAGGGTATTAAAATACTTGTTGGGGGGTGCAGGGCATAGCTCAGGGGTAGAGCGCATGCTTAGCATGCACGAGGTCCTGGGTTCAATCCTCAGTGCCTCCATTTAAAAATAAATAAATCAATAAATGAACAAACATAATTCCTTCTCCTGCCCAGAACAAAAACAAAAACAAAAATAAAAATAAATAAAATAGTTGGACAAAATTTTAAAAAATTAAAAAAAAAAGTTTGTTGATGATTTGGGGAAGGTATATTCTCTAGTCTTTGCTGGAAAAAAAATAAGGCCACTTAAACTCTTTGCGCTCTGACACAATTGCTATTTCTACCTCCTCATAGTAAGGGGATTAGCCCAGCTGCCATTCTGAGAAACCTCCAGTAAATGCACTTGTGCTCTGAGCATTCTCATGCCTGCAAACATTACCCTTTGTCCATCAGTTTACTTTTAGGATAAAGATATTTGTAAAGATACAAGATGGGAGTGTGCACATATCTTTAAGGCTCTAAGTTACTCCTATGAGTTACTTCCTTATTGAAAGCAAGATTTGTAAGCAGGAAAGCTTGAGGCCATTTCTCCTAACTTCTTTCACGCATGTTATATTGCCATTAAAATCTTTTTTATTTTATGCGCTTTTCCCTTAGCTTTATAAATGTGTCCACATACGCTTAGGGACATAAAATCAAGTATCTTCCTGCAGTAGGTTCAATACTCACACCTACATTTCCATTTTGTCTAAGTAGAGTAGTCCTGGAATAAATGCAATTATTTATTCATTTATATTTATGTTTGTGTGTCTGTCTGTCTATCTGTCTCTTTGTCTATCTAATGAGATCTAAAATAGCCAGATCTAATTAGAGTAATCAGGAAATCCCAGTCCAATGCCTCAGAGAATAGGGAGTAAATAAGCATTTGGTGTTTATAGATAATTATGAAGATAATGCTCAGAAAATAAATATTTCCTTATGCTTTCATGGTCTTAGATACAAAGAGTGTTGATGACTTTCAGGGTGATTTTGGCCCATTATCAATCTGGTGATATCTTCCTCAGTCAATTTTTTTTCTTCTAGGTCCCTTTTAACTCTCATTTGTGACTTCTTGTTAGCCTACCCACTAATAAATGAAGCAATTCACTAAGCTTTGGATTATTTTTTTTTGTCTTTTTATATCTCTCTTACAATGGAACCTCATACCAACTCAAAATAATATTTGGAATATGGAAAAACAACAAAAAGATAATTCACAAACTATACTTGAAGTATACTGTCATTCCACCTCTAGGGACCTGCTATAAACAATAAGGTGGAAAAGCAAAAATAAATGTTAAATGAAAAAGTGAGATCAAGAGAGACCTGGAATCCATTTTAGCTCATTTTTTTATAGTTTAGAGTCAGGATCTCATCTTGGGGTCCAGGATTGACTTTGTTATGAGGAAGGAAGAAAGAAAAGGCATAAGTTGCTGAGAACTTTAAAACTCCATGCAAAAATTTGGCTGTATTTAATTTACATGTTGAGGGGAGGCAGGAAGACATTTCATAGCTTTTAACACAAACTCGTAGGAATCTGTGACAACAAGCTGGTGAAGAACCACTGACATAGATTAACCAGAATTATAATAAATGAAAATTTTCTCTTTGAGTCCTGCTGGAAAATTAAAAGAAGATATTTCTGTCTTTTGCCCCAATTCTCTCTGAGGAATTTAATGTTTTTAGAGTTATTTTGCTCAAGCTTATAGAAATGAATAATTTAGAAAATATCTTGGCATAAAGAAGCCAGCTACTAAACATCACGGAAAAGACAGAGAATCCC